GCATCATACTGGAACCATTTATATAACTTTTCACCTTATGATCATTGTAAAGGTTGGTCAAAATCCACCTAATGGTTACCAAAAATATATTGTTTAAAGAAATAGTAGATATTGACGAACCACAATCGACTGATGATGAACAAACTGGCATCAAAATAGCTCACCTCAGAGCACTTTGTGCTCAGGTGATCTTAAATAAGACGTTTTCCTTGCATTTTCCTACATAGGTCTATATAAACTAAGTTATCCCAAGTGCTGGGTCGTTTTAACAATAGGGGAGATTTATACAACTATAGTAGAGGTTCACTAGGCAGTGTATTGTGCCTTATATAGACATATGGACATAGAAGTTTCACAAAAGGAAACTTAAATGCAATTACGTATACAATTATATATAAACTAAGTGACTAAGGATTAAGCTAATTTTGACACTAGGACATGAGCTTGAACTTATCTTAGCTCAGGACTTTGTACTTTCAGAGAAGAAGATTTGCATATGTTTACTATATCATTCAAAGTTCATTCATAACCCTACCCATCACCGTAACTATTTGAAAATAAAGTTGTCTGAAGCAAAGGTGCTAGTCGCATTGATTTCACCAAAAATAATGCTTAATCTCGCTATTTATGTAATATTTTATAAAAAGAGTGTTACAAGAATATAATAAAAACATTAACTAATACTTTCATGTCTTTCATATTCTCAGTGAGCCTAATTATTTCTAAAAGCATCCCTCAATGAATGACAGAGTATGACCAGATACAACCATCCATGTATTGTTTTGACGTTCAAGTATTGCCTTCACCTTTTAAACTGCTGACCTGGCATTTGCATGTGACAAGTTCTCGTAATGTGCCACAGAAGTATGCCTAGTTACATTACTTCAAAATACATCCATGGATGACATAATTGATGACTGGATATAACTATCACTGAAACTAAAAACCTTAGAAGTCCAAGTGTGACCTTGATCTTTAAGCTACAGAACCATATGTTTAAGCCAAGTTATTACAGAATCTGTCACTGAATAACATGGACTCAGGACATGACTATCAATGCATTATCATATCATGACTTTTGGCATGTATATATTTGACCTTTTGTTCACTACATATCATCTTAATAAGCAGCATATTTAAGCATATTAAAAGTATATCCGTGAATGACAAAGCTATGCATAAAAGAAGAGAATCTATTCTCAAACTATTTGTTTGACCTACAAATGTAACCTTGACCTTTGAACTGGAGACTTGATCCCTATGCACGACACAATATCATGTCTTACACATTTATGCCAAATTATATAAAATCCATCCAGCTAAGGAACCAAATCTTTCGCGCGACACAGAGACATAATGTGCAACACATTTATGCAAAATATTTTTTTTAAATTTCATCCATCAATAACAGAATTGTTAATCGGACACGAACATCAGTGCAATTTTATTAAATATTTCCTTTCAATTCAGTGTAACCTCGAACTTCAGACCTAAACCTTGCATATGACATATTGTTGCATTGTGCTATAAAATCATTTTTAAATCCATCCATAAACAGCACAGTTATGGACCAAACAAACTTTTTATGGTTTGGGCAGATGTTCGGAAAGACAGAAGCTACAAAAACTTAATGCCCATAAAAATATCTTAACTAGAAATATGTCCATAGGATACTTGTGCCCGACTTAATTGCCATTCAGTATTGTATATACATACTGAAACTATTTTAACAAGAGGGCCATGATGGCCTCCAGCCTAAGTCGCTCACCAGAAACAACTGCTTTTCTGTAAAAGATAAAAGACTACCTAAGAATGCTACAGACAAAGTTTGGTGATCATCCATCAATTAGTTCTGTAGAAGATGCCTATAGGTTTTTGTATTTTTAGCTCTAGAGACCCCTTTAAAGGGCCAATCAAATTAAAATGAGCAAATTTGATACAAGACTACCTAAGAATGCTACAGACATATTTTGGTGATCATTCATCATTTAATTTAGTAGTAAAAGATGTTTAAAAGTTGTTTGTTCTTTAGCTCTGTTGACCCCTAAAAGGGGCCAATTGAAATGGAATGAGCAAATTTAAGTGTGACTGTCACAAGGAAGCTACAGACCAAATTTGAGGTAACTCTGCCCTTCAGTTTCAGAGAAGATGAATGTTGACGACAGACAACGGAGCATCCCCCTTTGATACTATTAGCTCACCCTGAACCTTCGGTTCTGGTGAGATAATAAAGGTTAAGTGTTATATTGATATATATGATACCATGTAATACAAATGTAGCAATATACATGTAACTCATAGGTTCCACTCATGTTCCTGGAATAATTCATATAGAAGCACTAGAAGTCTTCCTTCACCTGTAAAAAAAGAATGTTGTCATATGACCTTTACAATGTTGGTGCTAATTATACCAAACCATGCTAATGTTATCATTTTTAATTTGCCTTCCCACCAATCAGCAGCAATCATTTAAAAGCTTTAATAACTTTTTTCACTTTATTTAAACAACTCATTTACAGATGAAATGCATGTAGTACTGAGAATAATTTATATTTTAAAGGAACTCTACTGAGATTTAAAGCCTGAAAATATGAATTTCTTTTATAGATCAGTTTGGGCACTTAAAACATAAAGATATACAAAGATAATTGAGAAATACACATGTATACTCAGAAATAGCTTGATAATCTTATTTTCTGCACCAGTCTTGAGTGAAAAGCATTGCCATGCATTTCTATTTTCGGTCATTGTTCACAATTAGAATGATTATTTTGGAAAAACGGAGTAAGCAAATTATCTGAAATTTTGCACATAAGTTATTGTTATAGAACTTCATCAAATGGAAAATAAATCTTGAAATATTATTTTCCAGTACTGTCATGTCAAAAAACGTCAGTGGAGTTCCTTAATGAAAAAAAAAGATTTTTCATATTTCTAAAATGAAAATGCTCAAAAACAAGTAATAAAACAGTTTCACTAAATCGATCAATAATTTTCTCCAACATGATATGCAACAATTTATTTTTCATATGTACGAGTATAAAAGACTGTCCAAGAAACTTTGAACAGTTTGACTATTTTAACAAGTATTTCAATTAAATATTCAATCATTAAATTGGTTAGCACTAAATGAATGTTCAATGTCACTGGAATGTGTAAACACTGACCCTACTGTAGCTAAATTGAATACTTTCTTCAAACAGAGAATTGAAAGTTTCATGTAGGATTAAAAGAAACAAATGCACAGTGATTAAACTAAACTTCTTCAATATGGTCAATTTTGCATTCCCTTGTTTATAAACAAGTAAGCGCCAGTTTTAAAATCACGAACGAGGAGCAGAAAACCAATGAATAAAAGTCTCACAGATTTTTCAGTTATTAAAAAGCTTTCTTGAACATTATAATAATTCATGTTGAACATTTTCATTGTTCCGCTCATATAAGTCTGGATTACATTGACAATAATGAAAAGAAAAAGGAAAGTGTGATTCCTTAGTGAATGTGAGGGACAAGAGATTTATTCAGCCATTCTTACAACTCAGCATCTGCCAAAGGATCACGTATATACATGTATATAGAGAATATATACTGGTCTTAATGTAAGATCAAAACAAATGAAAATTTCACTGTGCGAAAAACTAGATTAAATATTGTTATATGTTGCATAGAAACAAATCAAGATGGTATATTAAGTGTTAATTAGTATATTTCTGTTGAAATCTCCATTCATTTCATCCATACACTATTCTTTTGCATACCAATTTAAATTTGCTCTGACTTTAAAGTCTTCTAATTCAATGATTATATTCCAATCATCTGAAAAGCTTGTAATAAAAATCAGTCCATTAAAAAAATATATGTTCAATTACATTTTGCATACTTACATATATACAAATTTTGCATACTTACATACATGTATATACATGTACAAATTTTGCATACTTACATATATACAAATTTTGTATACATATTATACAACTTTTAAATAAAGACATTTGTGTTACCAGTATATCATTATACATGTATAACAAAAATTGATTGTTACCTTATTCAACACAGGAGATTAACTATACAATTATCAAAAAAAATCTAATTTTGTAATAAAACAACAATTGTGAATCTTTTCAATGTGAAGATTATTGATGTAAAAAAGGTTGTACATTAATAAAATATAAATTTTCAATCAAACATATAATTCAAATATGCTTGCGTACCAGTATATTATATGTTATTTTGGTATTGGAGTGATATATGTGGATATATTACCTGTCAAGATTTTATATCTTATTTATATTTTATCTTGGCAGGTAATATACCCACATATATCACTCCAAAACCTAAATAATAATTTTATTACCCTTCCCCTGCCGAGTTAAAACGATTTTAAAATAAATCATTGCTACTTCAAATGAAACATCGAAATAAGATTCCCTTTAGGGTACCCCTTCACCACTACATGATGTCACATAAATACATGACGTATTTTCTTCGAACATAACGAATGTAAACAAGAGAAAAGGAGTAGTCTGTTGAACGCACTTTTTTGGAATTAATATCAAGCTTTCACAAGGTCATAATTGATTTCAATACTGATGAGAATATGTATGATAACTCTATTTTGGTAAATATTTATCATTTGACAGTTAAAAAGTGCTTGTAAATCGGAATTTACATCGCGTAAAATCAAACCATATACGCATCGCCACAGCGCATGTTGTTTAGAACTAATGGTACCCAACGGGGAAATTTAGTGTGTATATTACCCGTCTGACTCGGTAATATCAATTTCTTTCGGGTGATCAATATCCAATCAAAAAGGCGGAAAAAATCTGGAAGGGTAATAAATATATATATACATACCCTAGCATTTTAAAGTTAAATAATCATACATCAGAGTCAACAAAACCCACAAAAATCATTGCAGAAAAAAATGAAAATCATTTGTTAGTTTCTCAGTGAATTTTAAAAGTCTATCTAATGCAGCCTTTTTCCATACATTTTTATGTAACGAAACATATTTTTAACAATATCACATCATTATATGTATCAATATCTGCCCTCCTCTAACTTTGATGCCAGGTCATTTCTCTGTACAGAAGAGTGTCTGAGAGCATCTATCAGTTTATAGCGACTAGCACTCTGTTGCTCCTGATGTTGCCATGCCAACAAACACTGATGAATTTTCTCACGTACCGTTCTATAATCAATTGATATTGTCTCAATCTCGTCCTCCGGCAATCCAAGTGAGCGAATGAAAAACTTCCAATCTCTTCCAAGACTTCTACATAGAAAACTGATTTCCTTTGCCAAATCTGAAACAATATCACAGGCACATCATATTAATTATAAATCTTATAAAACTTCATGTTTGTAACATGGCTTTTCATTGGATAATCATGACGTTTATATAGTTTTATATACACGGCTGTAGTCGATTCATTTAGAAATCTTATTTTTTTCTCAAAAAATTGATGCTTACTGTATTATAAATTGGATACAAAGATTGCCGACAGGTTATATGGCCGTATATAAACGGCTGTATGCAATAAAACCCTCGCCTAGCGGCTCAGGTTATATTTACAAATAGCCGTTATATAGGGCCATATAATCTGTCAACAATCTTTAAAAATAATATAACATACAATCATACACTTTTCTATTGTCTTAATTTCTGCGTCTTAATACCATTCTATTCATAATACTGGTGATAATAGACATATGTATTTTAATTTGGCAATATTATTATCTGAGTCATTTAAATAAAAATGTCCTTACTGATCAATGTCATATCAAATTTTATTATTAATAATTGTTATCTTCTTCAATTTGAA